TGCCCAGAGGGGTGGCAGGCATGGCTGCTGGAGGGGCAGCAGGGCTGGTCTGGGCACAGCCTGGCATCTCTCAGCCTAGTCATCGGCCCAGAGCAGAGCCTGCCCAGGGCCCCACCTCATGCTCTGCTGGCTGCTTGCCTGCCACGCGCCCAGGATTGCTGAGGGCTTTGCTCATGTACCTCAGGAACAGCTGCGTGCTGGAAACCGGGGGCTGGCAGCAAGCAGGAGGGGCACCTGGGGGGCGATGTGGGGGAGGGCTGAACCCAGCCAGCTTTGGTGGGATGGGCTCGCCGTGCTGGGGGAGAGGGGCTGTATTAATGGTGGTTGGGGGGGGCGCTCCTTGCAGGCAATCTCCAGAGCCTCTGCTGGGTCGCCTGGCTACAGGGCTGGCCCTTGCAGGGTGATGGTTCGTGTTTCTTGGGCCTCAGTTGGATGCAGATGACAGGAGCGTGCCCTGCCCCCAAAGGCTCAGCTTCCTCCAGGCCTGCGGAGTTCAGGCTCTCTATCCAGGCTTACAGCCGAGGATGATTCCCACAGAGGAGGCACTAGGCCCTGTGTGACCAGACCTTCATGTTTTAGCCATTGATGAGCGGCTTTAGGAAGGGCCTGTGTTTATTTTTGTTACTTATTTGTGTCGTGCTGGGTTCCACGGGGGAATTAAGGCAGCATAAAGGACAGCTGGAGTGTTCTGGAAAAGGGCCGGTTTCCTTTCATTCTTAAAGCGGTAGTGATTGCTAATTGAGTGATTTTGTTTGACTTTCTTCAGGTGAATTAGGAAGAGCTTTAATGATTTTTGTGGTGATGTGTGGCCTCTCCCTGATGGTCCCTCACTTGCTTGAATCAGTGACAGCTGTGAGAAGAAAGGCATATCAGTAGGTTCGGAAATGGTCTGAGCCCAGATAAACTGTTGGGGCCATAATTTCTTACAGAGTGTGGGTGATGTGGGGACCAGGGGAGGCAGCCGGGCTCCCTAGGGCAAGGCAGGGGAACCAGGGCGGGTGGAGTGAGGTTGTAGTGCAGGACTTGGGCAGTTGGAGGCCTCCAGTGGGGGCAGACTGAAGTGTGAAAAGCCACGGAGCCGCACCCATTTTGGTTTCACTCCCGTCTCCTTCCGCAGGGGCGACGCTGGAGGCTCGGACCCCCCCCCCTCTCCTGAACCTTTTGACTTTGTCCCGGGCAGACCCACAGAAAAGATAGCAGAAGGAAGTGAGAGGGCGCCCTGAGCTCTTGGGCTTGAACCTTCTTGCTGTCACCTCCTGTGGGTGTGTGCAGAGAGTGGGAGTGAGGATATATGCTTTGGAGAAAATCTGAATTCTGAAGGTTTCTCCTTACCCTGCTCCATCTCTAGCAGCGGTGACCCCGGACCGTGGTGGCAGCCCCGGGTCACATCCGGGCACTTATCCACAAAAGGGAGCAGGTGTGAGTCCCATCTCCTGGGTAAAGAGGGATGTTTGGCAAATTTTTTTGTCCTTTGATTAAAGGCTACTGCGTCTGGCGCACAGCTTTCCTTATATCTGCCTGACTACACTCTCTGCTCAGCTGTTCAGGGGGTTCACAGTGCAGGTTTGCTGTGCGTGCTGAGCCCCATTTCTAATGAAAGTAGACTTTGTTCTCTCGAGGCAGCTAATCGTGCCCCATGGGCTGTAATCAGGGAGAAGGTATTTAATACAGGGCAGGCGGCAACAGGCGGCCTGCATTGACTGGCAGATTGCAACATGGCAATTAGGAAGCTCTCACCCCCCTCTTTGCCCCAGCAGAGCCCGGGGAGGCTCTCTGAACGGGAGTTTGAGTGAGTGAAGAATGAATGCTATGCAGAGGAGGAACGGGGAGGCGGGGCTCGGGGGGCAGGGGCCTTGAGGAGAGCCCCTTTCCCTTTGCTTTCCCTTCGCTTTCCCTTCTCCAGGCTGCTCTGCGTGTCTCCCTCCGGCACTGCTGACCTGGGTCAGCCAGAGGTTTTCACCTAGGCCTCAGCCTTTCTCCCCACGCACAGCTGTCGTAGTGCAGGCCCAGCACATGATCTGGTAGCGCCACACGCCGAGTCCTCTGCCCCCAGTTCCTTGAAGCTCAGGTAGTTTGGGGTGAGGAGTGGGAGTGGGATTCTTCTTGGTCAGTTTTTCAATCTTCCAAAAGACCATTTTCTTGGAGGTGTCCTGGAGCCAGCTCAGCAGCCAGAGGCCAAGAGACCTCAAAGGCCGCTTGCTTGCTTATCCTGGCCTGTATCCCGTTCTGAGTTATCCAGCTGCTTTCTCTGGGGACTTCTTCTTCTTGACAGGGGTTTGGGAGCCATCCTTTGGCTGAAACCACTTCAAGGCAACATGGGAATCTTTGGGTGAAAGAGATGTGGCCAGTGGAGGCCGCACCTGGTGGTTGGGTCTTGCCGATGGGACTGCTCTGCTGTCTTGCAGCTCACCTTTTAGCTTCTCCTGGCTGTGGGCCTGGTGTCTTCTCGCTTTGTTCTCCAGCGCCCCTGGCATGGCTCTCCCTCCAGGGTCTGTCCTGCCTTGCTGTGCTTCCAGTCAAGGACGGTGGCCTGTCAGGCCCATCGCATCCCTGTTCAGTGCTGGAATTGTCTCCCCGCTCTCGGCCCCCCTCCTGCCACTGTGGGCTGGATCTGGGGCACTTAGCGCATCTCAGGAGTTGGAGCTAGGGCCCCCACATGTACTGGTGTTTATGGACGTGGGGCAGGGAGGGAGAGGGAGACAGACTCTTCCTCCTGGGCTTGTGCTGGGGACACTGCAGGCTCTTTTGCAGACTGTCTCCCTAGTGGGCCTTGCCTTCTGCTTCCTTGGTTGGGAGTGGCTCCTTTCTTGTGGCTCTGATGTGTATGGAAAGAGTAGGCTCTGGCCACGATAGATAACTGCCTGCCATTGCTGGCACCATTCACCCCAGAGCGTCGTGTTTACAGTACTCCCCCATCTCCCTGCTAGCCACTTCCACACCGTCCCTCAGCAAGCCAGGTTATCTGGCCAGGAAAGCCCTGGGAGTATGTGGTGTGAGGCCAGGGAGTAGAGACTTGACATCAAGGTGAGGCAGGATGTGTGACAAGTAGAGCTAGGGCTGTGGGGCATGGAGTGAAGGCCACTCTCCTTCATGGAGGATCCCCAGGTACCTGAGCGTGTCTGTGTGCTCCCTGCATGCCCGCCTGCCATCCATTCAAGTGTCCTGGTACCTAGAGGCCAGAGTGGGTATTAGCAAGAATAGGGCTAAGGAAGAAAAGAGGCTGAGAATTGAGGGGGTCCGAAGCATGACCTGCAGGGAGAAGGGGACTACTCAGCTGATGGGGGTGCAGATGGGAAAGGGAGCAGGCCCAACTCTGGATCCCCCCCGCCCCCGGATTTTGCAGAAGTTCTTGGCGTCCTGTATCTCTTACTCCACGTCTCTGGCTGTCCCCTTTTCTAACTCATGTATCCCGCACTTAACATCCTCTGACTATCAGCACCCAGCTATACAGGCTGGCTTGGAACTTTCTGGGCCTCTCCCCCAGGCCATAGGAGCTCACACCCTGCGGCCCACAGGAGGGGTAGCCCCGGGGAACCTGCGGGGGTGACTTGTTTGCTCCCCCACACCCCAGGAATGTGCTGTCCTTTTGGGCCCGCCCGGATTCCTGTGCAAGGAGTCAGCTCGACACAGCACGCTGCTTGTGCCCTGTGGGGACATGTCCGCCTCACCATCAAAGGGGTGGAGGTTGGCGGCTCGTGCCTGCTGCCATGCCCCAGCTCCCCCCAGAACCCCCAACCAGAGACCAGGCTGCCCAGACAGAGGAGGGGGGCCACTCCTGCTTGCCCGCCCTCCCTACCCCCTCACTGTTCTTCCTGCCCCAGGCTGTGTTGGAATGTGACAGGAGTTGTGGCCAGGGCATGTCCCGACAGCAGGAACACATGCTTTAGCCCGCAAGGCTTCCCTCGGCCCCCAGCTCTGTTTAGGAGGATAGCGGCGGGCAGATTGCTTATGCCCGGAGCCACCTAAGGTTACTGCCTCCACAGGTCCCTGTGGTGGTTACTGCCCCCGTGCTGTGGCCCGGCTCATTACAGGAGGGGCAGAGCCTGGCACGCCCAGAACCCAAGCTGGGGGCCTCACAGGTCACTCAGTCTGGCCCCCTCTGTGTGGAAGAGAGACCAATGAGGGACTGATCTGGGGCCACACGATGTGTCAGAAGCAGCATAGCCTGGAGCCCAGTGTCTCAGCTCCCCAGGCTCGGGCCTTCTGCACCAGAGTTTCTCAGCCTGGGTGCTGTCAACATTGTGTGCTGATAATTCTTCATTGTGGGGCGCTGTCCTGTGTGTGGCAGGGTGTTCAGCAGCATCCTTGGCCTGTCCCCACTAGCTGCCACTAGCTCTCCCCTCCGTTGTGATAGCCCTTCACACGTGGCCAGGGATCTGGGAAGGGGCAAGTGAGGGAGATGGGGGACCCCAAAATCACCCTCGCTGAGATTGCTCAATCCTTGCTCTAACTGCTGCTTTTTCAGATTTTTCTCTCCTGGGCCTACCCTTCTTCGTTGCAAAGTCTGTTTAAAACCGTTACACATGGAAGTAGTCTTTGGACTCCTGGAAACATTGCTGGGAACTTTTCCCAGCAGCTTCTCAGTCTCTACTAGGCTTTTTCCTGATGTTCTCTTCTGCAAGCCGTGTTCCGCAGATCTCTTAGTTTCCAGACTCTGAGAGGCCTGGGAGATGAACAGGACAGATGTGGGGTAGGATAGGGGCAGGACAGGACCAGACCTATTCCAGAATCAGGCATGTGGTAAGCTGAGGCCATGAGCACATGCAAGACATGCCTGTGTGTCGTCTGGGCCTGTGACCACCGCTTTCATGGAGAAAGGAGCCCCGTGCTTCTGGTCCTCTCCTGCGTCCGCTGCTTTCCCCAGATTCCCTGGGCCATGGCTTTTCTGCCTGGCTCTCCCTGGGGGGCTTCCCAGTCCTGGACTGGGTAGGCCGGCTGAGGGCCCTGACAGACCCGCGGCTGACACCTGGTTTCCACTTTCTTCCCTTCTCCGGTTTCAGGAGCTGTTGGCTAGAGGAAGTGGAGGGGCCACGGGATGCGGAGAGCCGACGGCTAACTGTGGGACAGCGGAACAGAGCTGCCGACAGTCACTAGATGGTATGTCCCTGGGGGGCCTGCACCCCTCGGCCCCCTTCCGGAGAGGCTGGTGGGCCAGGGGGCAGGCAGGTGGCCCCTCGTGGTGGGGGCTGGTGAAAAGAGAGTGGTGGGGGCCAGAGAGGCTTGGCCTTTAGGACTCTCAAGCTGGGAGGACCCGAGGGGCCTGGGTTGGGGGAGCATCTTCAAACCCTTACTTTCTGGTTACTGGGGGTTTATTTGTTTTTTTGCTTTCTGGGGTTTTTCCGAGCTCACACGTATGGAACGTCTCCTAAGTGACAAGTAACTGTAGTTTGTGGCTTATGTAATCTTCACAACAGGTCTATGAAATTGGTACTCTCCTCATCCCCAGTGTAGAGTTAAGGAAACCGATGGAGCGGGAACAGTTTTTCCCTCTGAGGCACTTTTGTAAGCCCACAGAGGTGAGCAGTGGGCCACTCTTAGATACCTTGTCCCACTCCTAGGCTGTAGCCCACTCTTCCTGGTGCCCAAGCTATGGGCCCTGCCTTTCCCACCCATCTGGTCGCATTGGGCCCTTGTCCCCTCCAGCACTCCCCTGACCCATGGGCACTGATACACCAGAGTCCAGGTTTCTCATGACCCCAGCAATGGCCCAGGCCTGTCTGTGTGCCCGGTGGCTCCTACCTGTGTCCCTTTTACTGGCCTTTTTCCCTCAGTCCAGAGGCCTCTTGCCCACATCTCTGAGCCTCCTCCCTGGCTTCCCCACAGCAGCTTGAGGAGCCCTCCACTCTCAGAATGACCAGTGCGGCGCCTGCTAGGAAACCATACCGTAAGGCCCCACCTGAGCACCGGGAGTTGCGGCTGGAGGTTCCAGGATCCCGGCTGGAGCAGGAGGTCAGAAGACTCATACTCCTACCCTGGCTGGCAGATGCATGCCCCTGAGGCTGGGTGTCTGACTGACGTCTCCCACCTGAGGGGACTTCTGGGCCCCTGAGTGGGGGTGTGAGTATGGCATTGCTGATTTATGCTTGGGGGCTCCTAGCTGCAGCCCTGCTGGTGGGGGCAATGCAGGCTTATAGGACGGCTGTGAGCACATGTCCCCACGTCACGGAACCCCAGAGTCTTTATGGCTCAACGGAAGTGCTTCGAGGTGGTATTGTTCTTCCTGCAGGAGGCAGCCCACCAGATTGAGGGGTCCTCACGCGCGGGAGGCTGGGACTGTGTGGAGGAGGTGGTGCTCCGGCTTCTTCCCACCAGACCAGCTGTTCTTTGCTGTCCCCGGAAGTCCGGCCCTTCCTCCAGCTTTGCCTGGTCTGGCTAACATTTGTGAAGGACACACTCCCTGCCAGGAGCTGTGTTAGGTTCTTAGGAGGCTGTCTTTGGGCCACTGTGAAACAGTCTCCAAACTGGCTGTCCTTCCTCATTCAGTTCCCTCTCAGGAGGACATGAGTGTTGCAGTCAATTCACCTGGCTGCTTCTCCCCACCCTGTTGCTGCACATAGAGCACGTTTACAGAACTCGAGAGAGCCTCCGTACCCGCTGAGCATCAGGCATACCATGGTCTGCTCTGGTCCAGGTCAGGGCAGGGATGCTGGGACTTGCCCGTTTTCAGTTCAGGGAACATTCAGTAAGAAGGCCAGGTCTTGTGCTAGGTGCCATCCTGTGGGCATTCCCTTGGTTTTGTAGATGAGGACACTAAGGCTGAGCGAGGTTAGTACAAGCAGAGTGTGGTAGAATGGGATCAAATCCAGGTGTCATTTGCTCTAAAGCCCATGGTCCAGGCCACCCACCTCATTTTCCGGCCTGTGATTGGCATTCTGAAGCAGTCGGCTCCATTTGGAGTGGGCCTCTTGATGTTTCCCTGCTCTGTGGCTGGCTGAGCTCTGGCTCTTGGGCTGTGACCAGCGTGGGGGCTTGGGGAGGATGGGGCAGGAGGCTCCAAGCAGCACAAGGATAAGACATGTCACTCCTCTCAGTCAGGACTAGCCCAGAGGCTCTTTCTTTCTTTCTTTTTTTTTTTTTTTTTAAAGATTTTATTTATTCATTTGAGAGAGAGAGA